GTGGGTGTGGAGTGTCTACACAGCAGAGGCTGGGGCCAGTCTGCATGTGCGGGGTGAAGAGGCTCTGAGATGCACGTACATGGGTGTGTGCAGGTGCAGGCTAACAAAGGCGGCTAATCTGATGTGTGTGCATGTGCACACCTGTCACCCGTGTGCCCTGAGAGGCACTGTTTATTCTGAGTGTGTGTGGATTCTGAGCATGGTTTTCACACCTGTGTGAGTGCACACTGAATCTGCAAGGTGAGTGCTGGCTACTGACACTGTGACTACTGGGGACTGGGAAGTTGGCACAGTGACTTCATGTCTACTGGCATGCTACCCTTCAGGAGAGACAAGGTCCCTAACTCCAATCCTGAACCCTTTGCCCCATGTTTAAAGGTGGGGCAACAGAACTGCTAGAAGCCTTGGATTGGCGCCCAGGATGAGGTGGGAAATAAGGCATATGCAAATGCTAGGGAGGGGAGCTGCCATGTTCTGCTCCCTTCTTGTCCCCCAACAGCTGCAGCTGAGAACTCATCAGCCTGGGGCCAGTACTGATGGTGAGGCAGGAGAGGTAGCAGGTGTACAAGGCCCCATGAATGTCAGGATTACCATCGCAGGCTCTTCCTGTTCCTCTGGGAAGGAACCTGACTCAACTTGCCAGGCACCCCTACACATCTGACCCCATGCTTTCCTCTACTCCTCCTGTGCTTTTGCGCTGGCCCTTAGTCCCCAGGTGTCCTGTTCCCTGCTCCCCTCTCCTGCAGGGCTCATCACCAGCAGCCAGTCAGCAGCCTATGCCATCAGCAAGTTTGTGAGTGGGGTGCTGTCCGACCAGATGAGTGCTCGCTGGCTCTTCTCTTCTGGGCTGCTCCTGGTTGGCCTGGTCAACATAGTCTTTTCCTGGAGCTCCACAGTACCTGTCTTTGCTGCTCTCTGGTTCCTTAATGGCCTGGCCCAGGGGCTGGGCTGGCCCCCATGCGGGAAGGTCTTGCGGAAGGTGAGTGCTTTCAAAGAACCTGTTTGGACTGGCATAGACTAGGCAATGGACGCCTAGTAAGCATGTGGGAGCACCCCTTCTTACCCGCCACCTCCACCCCCAACCCATAGCAGGTCCTCAGGAGTTCCCAGTCAGCTCCTATTGCTTGTCAAGATATTTTAGGAGTCTGAGAGTGGTGGGATCAGGTGGCAGATGAAGGAATTGCCCTGCCAAGCAGAAGTGCCCTCTTTCTCATCCCTGTAATGTGAGCTTCTGGGTCTGCTTCACCTGATCCCCACCTTCACCATGACATGAGCTCTAGGCTGCATACCTACTTTGTCCCCCTGCTGCCCCACAGTGGTTTGAGCCATCTCAGTTTGGCACTTGGTGGGCCATTCTGTCAACCAGCATGAACCTGGCTGGAGGGCTGGGCCCTATCCTGGCAACCATCCTCGCCCAGAGCTACAGCTGGCGCAGCACGCTGGCCCTGTCTGGGGCACTGTGTGTGGCTGTCTCCTTCCTCTGTCTCCTGCTTATCCACAATGAACCGGCTGATGTTGGACTCCGCAATCTGGATCCCACCCCCTCCAAGAGCAAGAAGGGTGAGCCCCCACCTAAGTCGACCACTGGGGCACTTTCATTTATCATTCACTGGGCAGACTTTTGTTGAGGGCTAGCTGTATGCCTGGTTCTGTGCTAGGCAGTGGATGTAGGGGAAGGAACAGGGAGGGCGGGAGGGGAGTAAACAAAACATCCCAAGAGGCAGTTAAGTACCAGATAAGTGGCAGGGCCAAGTGTGGTGACTCATGTTATACCCCACAACAGCACTGACTTCCCTGTCCTAGATAGTGTCCTAAGTGGGTGCCCTCCTCCATCCATCCTGGTCCTCAGTTTCTCTTTCATTCATTGAGGCTTGCAGCAGAGTGGGGGAGAGGACAGCAGTGGGGTGAAGGGATACTCTTATGCTGATCCTGGCTGTGCTAATGAACTCTGCCCCTGTGGCTGGTTAATGAATGGTGGGGGCTCAGGTGGGGGCAGGGCAGCAAGGGCAGAGCCTAAGGATTGGCTTCTTCCCATCTCCAGGCTCCACGAAGGAGGAGAGCACCCTACGGGAGCTGCTGTTGTCCCCCTACCTGTGGGTGCTCTCCACTGGCTACCTTGTAGTGTTTGGAGTAAAGACATGCTGTACTGACTGGGGCCAGTTCTTCCTTATCCAGGAGAAAGGACAGTCAGCCCTTGTGGGTAAGATGAGTGTTGGGACAGGGTGGGCGTAAGGAGCAGGAAGGAACCAATGAAGGGGATGGGAAAGTCAGGCTTTATCCCTTTAGGGAGAAAGGCTGCTTCCATTTATGTAACTCTTTATTCTTCCCTGAGGCCAGGCACTTACTCAGGCCAGTCACCCTTGGGGACCCTGTACCTCTCTGGGTTTAAGCCACTGTGGGACAACCCCAAAGTGTAATACCCTTCCATCCTTCCCTTCCCACCACAACTCCCCACTGCAGGTAGCTCCTACATGAGTGCCCTGGAGGTTGGGGGCCTTGTAGGCAGCATCGCAGCTGGCTACCTGTCAGACCGGGCCATGGCAAAGGTGAGTGGGCAGAAGGTACAGGAAGGAAAAGGGTCCCTTTGAATCTTCCCAGCATGGCTGGGACAGGCATTGGAGAGATGGGAGTCCTGGGGCACATGCAGGTTGGCATATGCTGGTTTAGACTGGGGTGGGTATCATTCCAGGCTACTCTTAGCTTTGCTGGGGATGTGGAGGTGAGGCTCTTGCAGGAAGAGTTTTAAGTGATGTCAAGGAGAACCAGAATTCCTCTCAGCCTAGCTGTAGCCTTCTCCACAGCCTCAGGAAAACTGGGGCGGGAACAGACTAAGTGCAGCTCCCCAGCACGTGTGCCAGGCCTGCCCCAGGGTGGAGGAAGGGATGTTGTGGAGTTTGGCCTCCGAACATAATGGGCAGGTCCAAGGACCTCCCAGAGCCAAGAACTGTGGTGGGGATGCCAAAGACCTGTCAGCAGAGGCCCTGCTGTGCCAGAGTCCACAGGTGGGGGTTCTCTGCCCTGTTCTGAGGACCTGATCTTGCTGGGACTGTCTCCATAGGCGGGGCTGTCCATCTATGGGAACCCTCGCCATGGCCTGCTGCTGTTCATGATGGCTGGCATGACAGTGTCCATGTACCTCTTCCGGGTAACGGTGACCAGTGACTCCCCCAAGGTAACTAAGGAGGGCCTGGCCCGCGGCAGAGCACGAGGAGAGAAAGCAAGAGCTGCTGACTCCCTCTCCTGGCTCCAGCCCGGGCCAGTCCTTTCTCTGCCTCTCACATTTCCCTTTTCAGTTGATTGTACTACGGCTCCTCTCCTGTTTCTCAGTTCTCCTCCTCCACTCTCGGCCTGGTTTTCTTCTCTTCCCTGTGCTCCTCTAGGATGTTGCTTTCTGGACTCCGGCTCTTCACCCTCTTGCTGAGCTTACAGGCTTTACGGAGCATGAGGTGCCTTAAAGATATCTCTGGTTTTTCTCCTGGTCTGTCTCACCTTTGTCCTACCCCCTCTGCCTGGCCCCTAGGCAGTCCAGCTTGCATAAATTCTGAGGATAGCACTAACTCAGAAGACTTCTGTGCCTCCTTCCCCTGCCCACCTAGGCCCTTGGGTTGGCTCAGTGTGGAATCTACTACTATAAATCCATGTTGTCAGTGTGTTGGGGAGTTGGATGAGGAAGGCCACTTAACGTCCTTTCACTACTATTGTTTCTTCCTGGGGACCAGGCATTGTTTTCTCATCTGGCAGGGGTGGGTAGGTAGATAGGCTTTCTGACTCTGAGTGCCACTCCACATTGCTTTTGCAGCTTTGGATCCTGGTGCTGGGAGCTGTGTTTGGTTTCTCCTCTTATGGTCCCATTGCCTTGTTTGGAGTCATAGCCAATGAGAGTGCCCCTCCCAACTTGTGTGGTACCTCCCATGCCATTGTAGGACTTATGGCCAATGGTAAGTGATACCTTCCAGAATGTCTACCACACTCCCACTTGTTCCTTGCAGAAAGACCTGTTAGAGGCCAGAGCAAGCACCACTGGCTCCAGCCTCAAAACAGCTCAGGCTTTTCCCCTTCTCCCTCACAGTGGGCGGCTTTCTTGCTGGGTTGCCCTTCAGCACCATTGCCAAGCATTACAGCTGGAGCACAGCCTTCTGGGTGGCTGAAGTGATTTGTGCAGCCAGTACAGCTGCCTTCTTCCTCCTGCGAAACATCCGCACCAAGATGGGTCGGGTGCCCAAGAAGGCTGAGTGAAGAGTGAGGCTCTGGAGTACCATCCCACCTGGCCATCCCCCTGCACATTGTGGGGGAAGGGAGGGGGCTGCTTGGCTAGCACTGAACCTTTGACTTTCCCTTTCTGCACCTTCTCCCTTGCCCAGGTGGTACTGGAAGTTAGCAGTGGCTAATGAGGTCCCAGCTCCCCATCCTATGCTCTATTTAAAAGATAACATTTGTTTTTGGACTCCATCAGCTCCTATTCCCTGGCTTTAGACAAATTGGAAACTTCTGCAGTCAGGGAGCCTCCTGTACCCTTCTTCCTTTCCTGCACCCTGTCCTGTCCCCATCCTACCCCATCCCTACCTGAGGTGAGGCTGTCCCTGCGGTTACAAGACACTAATGGCCCATGACTTCTGCTCTGCCCTAAGTCCTGTCAGCAGTGGACAATTGCTATTGCCAATACCTCAGACTCCAGGGGAAGAGAGGAGGCCATTACTCTAATACCCTGGGCATAGTTGGGGGGAATGGGTGGGAGGGTAAGATGACTTGTTATAGAAGATTAAAACTAGATTTGATACTAAACACTGTCAGTGACCCATTCTTTCAAAGGGGTACTATAAGCCAGAGACAGCTTTCTTGGGAAATACTGTAAGACCTGCTCTTTCTACCCCAGAAGGAAAGGACATTTATTTAATGAACACAAACTTGTTGCACTAGAACATAATATCATCTTTTTAGAATTTTCTAACCATTTCTGTCTCCCTTCCTATGCCTTTCCCTGAGAACCATCAATTAGGATAGCAAACACTGGGATCAAAGGAATATTTATTACATCATTTATGGACCTAACTCTTCCATAAATAAATCTGTACAGAGTTGGAAAGTAGGGCCATGATATATACATAGGGAAAGAGCATGGTGTTAAGCTCAGGGATCAGTACATGTTATCAGGCTCAGCATTCATTTTTGAGTGCACTAACAAGGCTGCTGGGATCTCTATCAGAGTGGAAACAGCAGGACCCCTGCTGTGGGAACTCTCAGAATTTGGGGGTCCAAGGCAGGTTTGGCCTATGACCCAGGTCCAAAAGTCCCAGCCTTCTCTGCTACCTCCAAGGCAAGCTTCAGATTCTGGTCAAAGAGTTCACACCTAAGCCAGGCCCAAGAGACAATAAGAAAAAACTGTTAGGCTTGAGCCTATCTCCCCACTGAAGCCAGGGGAAACTTTGCTTGAGAGACATGAACCCCAGAACCTGAAGGAAAGTCTGGACTTTATTTACAAATAAATAAAGGGCTATTCACTGTTGTCTTGTTTACAAGTAATATTCTATCACACTTCAAATGACTTTGGGCAAAGCACACAGGGAGGGGCAAGGAGGCTTTGACCAGTATCTGGGGAATGGGGCCACTTACCTGATGGGCATCTCCAGGGAGTAGAATGGATTCTTGAGGGCAAAGTCTGAGTAAATCTCATAAATCTTTCGGAGAAGGGAATCTATTCCAGCTTGCCTAGGATCTGCCAGTACCACGAACTTGATCCCTGTAGAGACCAGGAATGGTAACTGAAGGGTCACAATGCAGCAAATAATGTCATCTTATTATTTGTACAGCAATTTCAACTTCACAAAACAGTTTCATAAGCCCATTTTTTATTTTATCCTTATTGCTACATACTGCAGAAAGGCAAGATTTTAAATCTAGATGAGACTAGAGACGTTAGAGAAGTGAAGTGACTTTACCATGTCACCCAGCAGATGGAGACTAGGCTTTAAGTTCTAGCTCTGCTACTTATTTCCTATTTTGGAGTCCCTCAGCAGAAACAATAGGGACAAACTCAGGCAGTTTTAAATAGTCTAAATTAAGGAAGTAAAGCAATGACATTCTCGATCCAAAGGCCATTTCCACTTGGCTTTCAAATTTCATTTTGGAACACCACTTTCCAAAACGTGTGCAATGTGAAATGTGTTGATTTTTATCTGAACACAGATAACTAGTGCTGAGCATGCTGGGTGACGTGGACAAAATCAGCTTCAGAGTAAATATTGGCTTTGTATTCACAAAACAAACAAACAGATGTGTCTGCAGAACTGTCCCAGCTAAAGCTAACACCACCCCCCTCTTTGTTCACTAAAGTTGTCTCTGCTCAATCCTTTCCCCCAACCTGCCCCACTGCATCCTTCTGGCCTATCTGGAAATGCATACCTGTCAGTGTCTGGAAGCAGTGCAGTTTGAATGTGTCTGTCTCTAGCATCTCAATGCCTGAGCTTCCCTGTTCAGGAGACAGCTGGGAGCCGATGGCAAAGAGCCTACATGCAAAGAAGGCAGAGTTGGGACTGTACCCCACTGCTGTAAGGGAGGAGTGCCTCATAAACTTTTCCACTGAAATGACACTATTTGCTGAGGAGTTCACATCACAGCCTGGGACAGTAAGGAAAGGTAGTGTGAGCTGTTTGGTAGCAGTGTAAGCATTTCTTTTAAATTCATTTGAATTCTGCATTTACTTTATATTACATACTTTACTATAGGACATTTTACATGGAAAAGTTTGGGTAAATGGAGCTGGCCGTGCTGCCTGTAATCCCAGCCACTTGGGAGGCTGGCATGGGAGGATCCCTTGAAACCAGGAGTTCCAGATTGGCAAGTGCAATAGTGAAACTCTCTTTATATATTATGAATAAACTCAACTTTGGATAAAATGAACACTCTGGGAATATGTGCCATGCTTATTTAGCTCCTAAATGTAGGCCAGCATATCTCATAGTTGGCAGCAGAAAAAATTTTTTAAAGATCTTGTAGTTCTTCACTCACAGCAAGGCCTTTGGGTAAAAAGTAAAAATTATAAAAAAGATCATTTAGTTCAACTGGCTTTCTTTAAAGAAATTAAGGCTCAGAGAAGAGAAGCTGACTTTAAGCATGATCACATCACTACCAGTATTACCTAAAATCTAGACACTGGATCAGTCGTTTTTTTCATAACACAAGAACTGACGACTTAAGAGGAAAAAGAGAAAGATAAGCACTGCAGCTCAGGAGACCGGGGACTTACGAGTGAAACATGGAGGCTAGCATAAGCTTCTCATTAGAGGTGAGGCGGGGTCGGCCGAATCGAATGGACACCGGGTAATTAGCAGGGTTAGCCAGATACTCCAGCACCTCTTTCCCGTCGGCTGTGTACTTGCCGTTCACGTCCATGCCATTGATGGCCAGCACTGCATGGCCCACTGCAGGGGTGAAGCTATCGGTCAGCGAAGCTGAAGCTCCAGCCCCGGGGATTCCGCCGAGGGGCCAAGGGACCCGGCCTGACCCCCATACCTCCCCAGCCCCGCACCTACACACCAGCCCACTTCACAGCACCAGGGCCCGCCCCCGAAGCCCGAGCTTAGCCCACCCCGGATGCCGTCTCGCTGGCCAAAAGCAACCAGCACACGCTCATCGTGTAGCTTGAGCAGAAGATCCAGCGGGTAACTGAAAGTTTTCTCAGCCTCAGCCCGTGGCGCGTAGCTGTCCAACTGGTAAATCAGGCCGCCAGCTTTGTTCACCACATACACACTAAAAATCGCCATTGCTGCAGCCGTGGCGGGGACCCTCGGATTGGGCCCCGCCCCGGATCTGCACTCACAGGCCCCGCCCTCGTCCCCACCCCACCTCACAGCCCGCCGCGTCGCCACCTGTGGCGCTTGCGCACTTGGAGCGACATGCTTCGTCGTTAGTAATGCCAGAAAGGTAGATGTTGGGACCAGGTAAATTGCTTTTCCTGTCTCAGTGTCGGATGACAGCGCTATAGTACTGCTTCACAACTAGCGGCAAAGTGCAACAAACCGGGGGCAGTGTTTACGAGGCACAGCTTGGGAGTTGGAGTTCACTTCCTCCTTCCCTCTAGCTTGAGAGCCAATTCTTCGCCAGAGAACGTCCTGCGCGTGGCTCCGCCCCTTGCCCCGGAAGTACTCACGGCGGGCGGAGATTTCTGGGCCTGTTCGTGAGCAGCGTTTCCTTTTTGTCCGACATCTTAATAAGGCTGCGGTAGCTGAAGTGGTTCTCCAAGCTTCGCAATGGTGAGAGTTGGGGGCACGACTTGGCGGGGTTCTGAGAGCGGGGCGATGCTAGGGCTCAGTGGAGGCAGCATGGGCGGGAGGGCTCCTTAGACTACTGGGCTGGGTCTCTGGGCGGGCGCGGGTGTTACTGCACTCTTCACACATGTGCTCTGGTAGTGGCGTGTGCGGGGCTGGGGCTGGGGCGTATTAGGGGAGCTCGGGATTACTTTATGATCGGACTGCATTCCGCCTCAATTCCTACAGCCGCCCAAGGACGACAAGAAGAAGAAAGATGCCGGAAAGTCGGCCAAGAAAGACAAAGACCCAGTGAACAAATCTGGGGGCAAGGCCAAAAAGAAGGTAAGAGTGAATCTCACTCTAAGAGAGAAGGAGACTGGGGGTGCCCCCTCGCCTTTTAGTATAGCAAGTGGCTTTTCAGGTTGTGAGTTCTAGAATCAGATTATTAGAGTCTAACTTTCTGTCGTCGTCTTTTTGTTTACTCTCTGTGGGATCAGAATTCCTTTTTTTTTTTCTAATTTGAAGGATGAGATAGTATGTATTACTTAGGTTATGGAAATGAAACAAGTGTGTATGAAGTGTTTGCTTCAGTGTTTAGCACGTTATTTTTAAGAGATCCTGTGGGGCTTGGGCTGTATTCCAAAGCCCCAAAGGTGTATCGCTTGTTTTTGTAATCTATAATTTATCTTTGACAATGGGAGCGATTTCTCTGACACAAGATTGTTGCGAGGGAAAGGGTGCTTCTGCCAGGAATACTAACTTCTTGTTTTGTTTGGTGAGCAGAAGTGGTCCAAAGGCAAAGTTCGGGACAAGCTCAACAACTTAGTCTTGTTTGACAAAGCTACATATGACAAGCTCTGTAAGGAAGTTCCCAACTATAAGCTTATAACCCCAGCTGTGGTCTCTGAGAGACTGAAGATTCGAGGTTCCCTGGCCAGGGCAGCCCTTCAGGAACTCCTTAGTAAAGGTGAGGAGTGTGTTGTATTGCTGTCCTTTTGCGGGTTAAATTGTCTTTACCATGTTAGTAATCTTAAGTGCTTTTACAGGAAAAGCGGTTGGAATTTTTTTAAAAAAGGTATATAGCCTGACCATTGGCTGTTAGTAATATAATTCTAATGTTTTGTTCCTGAGATAAGTTCTTAGTAGGGTTCTTAAGCCACTTTTGTGCCATGGATCTCCTATGGCAGTTTAGTGAATAGTGAAGCCCAAGGATCCTTCATGATTCAAGTGAATAAAAGCACAGAATTGCAGAGGCAACAATATTTTTTAAATAACTCAAGAAATTACAATGATTTAGAAAATGTTTAAGTTTAAAATTTTTATGGTGAAATAACTTGTTGATGCATTACATTTAGAAATTGATAGCAGGTCTAATTACCATGATTTCACATTAATGAAGACTATAGTGACTGATAGTTATAGCAAAATGCTAGATTGTGGTTATTACAAGAGCACATGATGGGCCCCTAATTTAAAGGGTGAGTGAAGATAGGTAATCATCAAAAACTCTAGATGTATCCATCCCGTCAACTAAACTGTTTCCAATTAAGGGATTCTGTTAGGGAAGGGATAGAAAGCATACTGAAAACCTATCCTTTCTCCCCAGGACTTATCAAGCTGGTTTCAAAGCACAGAGCTCAAGTAATTTACACCAGAAATACCAAGGGTGGAGATGCCCCAGCTGCTGGTGAAGATGCGTGAACAGGTGAGCAAGAACCTAGGGACTCTTAGGAAGTACATGTCCCCTTTACAAGGCTTTATAGTTCTGATTCTCTTTTTAATTTTTTTACAGGTCAAACCAACTGTATATTTGGAAAAATAAAACTTTATTAAATCGAATGAAGGGGTACGTCTGTTTCCTAAGAAAGGCAATTACAAAGGATTTGGTGGAAGGAATAATAGTGGGTATGGATGTATAGACTTTGCTTGGAGACTTGTGGGCAACAATTAGCTTTTTTCTTTGTATGACTGCTGTTTGTTCCTTGCTGCTGCTTCGGTTTTGAATTGATGCCTAAAAGGAGATGAAGGGTTAACAGGATAAAGGGTGAGATCCCCAAAGGGGTGGTAGGTTGGGGACCTGGCATTGGACCCATACCTGGACTGCCAGCGGCGTCCATTATTCCAGACTCGGCCAAAAGAGGGTAACCAGCCTGCACTGGTGCTGGAGCTGTGGTCAAAGTTGGCTCCAACTCGGTCAGGGGGCAGTTTCTTTAATTTCTGTTTCTCCTCTGTGCAATGATAAGGAAATAGTTTTGAGAGTGAAGATTACTACTAAAGAATTTTCTGCTCATCTTGAATTACTTTACTTACTTTCTTTAAGAAATTCTTCATAGGAAGGTCCTATTTGTTGGTTCTCAGAGATGTATTCCTCCTCTTGGACCATCCAGGGAGGTGTCGCACCTGGAAAAGGAAGACCCAATAATAAGAAATTAAGGTTTTGTTTTTTTTTAACTTTGGACTATTGTGAAACTTGCTCTAGCTATTAACTTGCCTCCTAATTAAAAACTAAAAACATTGAAAAGCAAAATCCAGGAATTCTGGTGCTTGCAAAATTGAAGGCCCTGAGCTAATTTAAAGCAACATGTACCTTATTTACATGTGATATGCTTTATTTTTAAAATAGCTTTAAAAATAATTACACTGCACACATTTTAAATTTGATAAATTTTGAGTGAAACCATCACCCCTAGGTATCACTGCCCCATCAAAATCCTACCTCTCCTTGTACCTTCCCCCTGTTCCAGGCCACCACTGATCTAAGTAATATGTATATTTTGGGGGAAAGTGTGTGTGGCCCCTATTATTTTGAGATTAATCTGTGTTGCATGTATAATTCCTTCACTGTTGAATATTATTCCATTATTTATCCATCTACCTGTTGGTGGACTTTTGCATTGTTTCCACTTTGGGGTGCTAGAAATAAAGCTGCTCCGAAGATTTGTGTACAAGTACACAGGCTTGCTTTCCTCTTGAGTAAATACTCAGGAGTGGAGTGGCTGAATAATATGGTAGGTATTAGGTAGGTACTTTTCCAAAGTGATTGTACCATTTTACATCCCCACCAGCACTGCATGAGGGTTTCAGTTTTCCACACCATCGCCAAACCCTTAGTATGATCAGTCTTTAATTTTAGTCACTCTGATTATATAGTAGTAGCTCATCGTGGCTTTAATTTGCATTTCCCTAATGACCAATAATGAACACCTATTTGTATCCTTTTACTGGGTGTTTTCTTACTGAGTTCTTCATATATTCTGGATATAAGTCCTTAATCAGATACATACACTTAATCTTATTTTTTTTTTTTTTTTTTTCTTCATAAGCAGATTCTGACTTGTAACATACACTTAATCTTAGTCAACTTTTTTCTCTAAAAAGAATAATTGTCTCTGTGCCTTACCTGAGTGGATGTTACCAACTCCTGGTATATCCTGTAGTTGGAAATGAGGGGAAAAATTCCTAAGTAAGAAACCCAAGAGATGATAGGATACTCATAATTAAAGACAAAGCTAACTTTAAAGGAGGTAAGTGTGACTGCTGCCACAGTGCTAATTCTGCTCCCCAGTTGATTTTGTTTTTTTTTTGAGACAGTCTCGCTTTGTTGCCCAGGCTAGAGTGAGTGCCATGGCGTCAGCCTAGCTCACAGCAACTTCAAACTCCTGGGCTCAAGCGATCTGTCTGGCTCAGCCTCCCGAGTAGGTGGGACTACAGGCATGCGCCACCATGCTCCAGCGGATCACATTTTTTTTTCTATATGTTTTTAGTTGACCAATTAATTTCTTTCTATTTTTAGTAGAGATGGGGTCCTACTCTTGCTCAGGCTGGTCTTGAACTCCTGAGCTCAAACAATCCACCCACCTCAGTCTCCCAGAGTGCTAGGATTACAGGGGTGAGCCACCATGCCCGGCCTGGGTCACACTCTTAATAGTGAAGATGTCCAAAAGTAGAGTGCCTACTACATGCCGGCAGAACAAAACCTTGCCCTCACAGAGCGTACACAAGATTGGGGGAGAGAATTAAGCATAAATTACACAAATTATTATATTTACAGCTTCACATGGTGCTACATCCACTTCTAATAGAGATGACCTGTTCAGGTGAGCTTTCTATGAAAAAGTAACACTTGAGCTAAGAGCTGAAGGCTTTTAACTAGAGGATAAGGAAAGGGGGGGGGAAAGTATATTTTAGGTAGTGACAACTGTGTAAAGGCAGGGAGCAACAGTACAGCTGGAGTGTAGAACATGAAGTCGCAGGTAATGCAGTGATTTTCTGTGTGTTTGGGGCAGGATTGCAGGGGAAGTAGAAATTGTCCAGGGTTGAACAGAGGCAGACAAGAGGTAAAATTGACTACTTGTTGGAAATGAAACAGGAGGAGGAGATACTGATCTGCATTTATGGTGAGTGGAAATGCAAGACTGGTAGGGATTAGGTTCAGGTGCCTGGGGGATATTTAAGTATAAAAATGTCCTTTATTAAGCTGGAACTGTAATTTCTGAAGAGGGCAAAATTGAGGGGTTGCCACTCCTCTAAATGGCAATGATGGCAACAGGTGTGCATAATATAACTACGGAAGGTGAGAAAAGAGGTCTGAGAACACATTTTTTTTTTTTTTTCCTTTTGAGACAGAGTCTCGCTTTGTTGTCCAGGCTAGAGTGAGTGCTGTGGCATCAGCCCAACTCACAGCAACCTCAAACTCCTGGGCTCAAGCAATCCTGCTGCCTCAGCCTCCTGAGTAGCTGGGACTACAGACATGCGCCACCATGCCCAGCTAATTTTTTCTATATATGTTAGTTGGCCAATTAATTTCTTTCTATTTATAGTAGAGATGGGGTCTCGCTCTTGCTCAGGCTGGTTACGAACTAAGAACACAATATTTAGGGAACAGTGCAGTAAGGGAAAAGCCAGAGGACAGGAAATGACCAGGAGAATAGGTAGGAAAATCAGAAGAGGGGTCTTCTGAGACCTGAGGGAGCATTGACCCTTTTCTGGCTTGTTTATCCATTGTACCTGATGGCCAATGAATGTCAGAGGTTGTTCTGTTTCCATCCAGTCAAGCTCTGGAGCTGGTGGCAGATCCAAGTATGAGGGCTGCTGTGAGCTGGAGGCTACATGGCTGAAAAAGACAAACATGAGCCAGGCTTGGCAGATGAGGTCCTTGAACCATGAGGATGGTAAAGATCAGATCTGTTCCCATTTCCCAGGAAAAAGATTGCAGACAGCTCTAAGATGTCAAACTTCCAAAAAGAGAGTCCCTAAAAATCTTACCTGTTTGTCCCTTTCCAGCTTCCAGGTGCTGAAGAGCCCTCTTCTGGGTCTGGCACTGCCTGAGGCTGAGTTTGATTCAGGAAAAATAAATGTGTCTGGGATGCTTAAGAGCCTGCCTAGGCTGTGCCCCCACCCTCAAGGCCCCAGTATCACAGGAAGGCAACAAATTGGCATATGGGGGGTACTGCCCATCTTTAAAACTTGTGCTTCCCTCCCAGCCCTGTCCACATCTTCACTGACTGAGCCTGCCTGCTGGTAAACAGGTAAGGGAATTCAAGCCAAGCAGATGAGGAATGGAGTCCAAGAGTTTTCTTAGAAGAGCTGGTTCATTAAATGCTGGACCTGGGAAAGCCAGGGATCAGTGGATTTGGATACTGCTCTGGATCCTCCGAGGGGAACCAACCTCTAAGACAGACCGAACCACTTCCTGCCGGCTCTGCTCCACCTCACGGATCTGAGCTGCCATCTGTGGGCGAGAGGCTGCTTAGGTACAGGATAATCCTGGGGGCTGGGTCCTTCAGAGGCCTTGCCTTTAACTTACCTCTTTGATCACTTCGTCCTCTTTTTCTTCATATGAATCCAAACCTTTTACCATGGATTTCTTGAATCTAAAAAGAATGGGCAAATCACCCCAGAACCCATGCCCCACAAGTTGTGAAAAGCTCCCCAGATTTTTTTTTTTAATTTTGAGAAATTTCAAACTTAGAAACAACAATACTACAGTGAACAGGTGTACCCCTCACCTGGATTCATAGTGAACCCAGCCAAGAGGGTGAGACTCACACACACACACACACACACACACAAAAAAAAATACTGTTAGGCTCTTTGTTACCAATGCCAAGCATGACCACTTGGCCATTATAAAGGACATTTTAAGTACTCTGTGGTTTAAAACTTGCACATGTCCTTCAATGGCTTGAACCACAACTTTGCAGAATCTTGGCTGAATGCCTGTGTGACCCTCCTGGAAAACAAGAGGATGGGAGGCCTGTATTAAGTTGCTATGAGGCCAGGTCCCAATGGCCTCCCTATCTCCCCAGAGGTTGTCATAAGGTAGTTTCTCATTAACTCCTAGGTTCTGATAAGGCCTGAGCCTTTCTGCTCCATCCGTTTTGGATTACAGCTAAACAATATAAAATCACTTAGTTTTAAAAAATTATCAAAAATAAAAGTTAAAAGCAAAAAATCCCCACTTAGCCACAGACTAGAATTGGCTCCCCAGCAACAGAGTAGCCCCCAACTCATGTGTCAGCCAGCCTTTTTTGTTTCAATGTGGTCTTTTTGGATGTGTGAAACAAGGATCTGGGAAACTAGCACGTTGGTCTTACTCTCCACCGTCCTATGGAAGTAATAAACCATCTAAATCGCAAAGTGTTGTCTTGTATCTTTTACCAGTCAGATCAGTTGGGTCTTGGCCTGGCCTTATTGTGTGTGTGAGCTTGACAATTTACAATGCTCAAAAGTCAAAAGTAGGCTGGGTGCAGTGGTTCAGACCTATCTATAAGGTTCTGTAAGACCTATCTATAGGTTCAGACCCTAGCACTTTGGGAGGCTGAGGTGGGAGGATC